CTGTGTTTGATTCCAGTAAGAAGTACCGTCAGGCTCAGGCAGCAGGAGAGGAGGAGGAGCCCCCGAGCCCCCGCCGGCCCCTTAGGTCAGGCGGATCCCCAGGACTTGTTCCAGTTCCTGCCGGCGCTGCTGGACCTGGAAAAGATGGGGAAGGAGGAGTCAGGCAGGGAGGGGGGCTTCCCCAGGGACATCCCCCCCCTCCTTGCTGCCACCCCGACCCGCCGTGGCACCCACCTTGGCAAAGATGTGTCTGCCCACAGCCTCCTGCGCCCAGGGCTGCTGGTAGAACTCGGCCCGTCGCTCCTCCTCGGGGTTCCCGATCACGTCTGTTATGATCTGAGCAAAGAATGGGGTCGGGGGACACACACACACACACGGGGTGAGTTTCAAGGGCTGGACCCCCCCCCTCTTCCCTGCTCCCCACCCCAGGTTGCCCAGAGAAGCTGTGGCTGCCCCAACCCTGGAGGGGTTCAAGGCCAAGTTGGAGGGGGCTTGGAGCAACCTGGTGTGGTGGGAGGTGTCCCTGCCCAGGGCAGGGGGTGGCACTGGGGGGGCTTTAAGGTCCCTTCCAACCCAAACCCTTCTATGATTCTATGACATTAGAGCTGCTTTCATGCCTCAGACCCAAGCCCCCCTGTCCCCTTGGACAATGGCAGCAGATGTTGCCTGAGGAAGAGGAGAATCACAGAATCTTCTAGGTTGGAAGGGACCTTAAAGATCATCTTGTCCAACCGTCAACCTGACTGACAAAAATAGACACCCACACAACAAACAAGAAGCATCACCATCACTAAACCATCCCTCCCAGCACTACATCAACCCGTCTTTTGAACACCTCCAGGGATGGTGCCTCAACCACCTCCCTGGGATGTCCCCAGCAATCTTCCTCCTGGCTCCATCTGTCACCCAGTGGCTGTCATTGGTTTGGGGACTTCTCAAGCCACCAGCCACCTCCACGCTCATCACATCTGGTGGCCTCATCCTCCTCCTCTGAGACAGCACCTCTTGTTGAGACCATGGGGTGAGTCCCAGGGCTGGACCCTCCCTGCTCCCAGTCCCAGCCCCTGGCCCAGGTTGCCCAGAGAAGCTGTGGCTGCCCCATCCCTGGAGGGGTTCAAGGGCAGGTTGGAGGGGGCCTGGAGCAACCTGGTGTGGTGGGAGGTGTCCCTGCCCAGGGCAGGGGGTGGCACTGGGGGGGGCTTTAAAGTCCTTTCCATCCTGAACCACTCTATGATTCACCTTGAGGTCCCTCCTCTGGGATTTGATCCATTCCTGGATGAAATCCTGCGGGTTGTTGCTGAAGCTCAGCATGAAATCCCGCTGCGTCTTCAGCTGGTTGATGGATTCGATGGTCTCGTGGATCTGGGGAGGTGACAAGGGGTGAGAGGCAGCTGTGTCCCTCCCCAGGAGCAGGACACCAACTCCCCCCAGCTCTGCGGGTGCAGCCTTGAAGTGCCACCCCCCTCACCTTGGCATCCAGGGAGGCGATCTCCTGCTGGTTGGTGGTGGAAGCCAGGAAGTTGCTCATCTGAGCTTTCAAGGGATCGTCCACCTCCACATCGATGTCATAGCAGGCTGTCTTCTTCTGGTCATTGGGGTCCACGCTGGGAGGAAACGGGGTGTTATGGGGGCCATTCCTCAGCCCCCACCTGGATGTAGGGTGGGATTGACTCCCCCAAGCACCCCTCAAGAAGCCCCCAAATCTTTTTTGGCTGATTTTTCCCCTCCCAAGTGACTTGTGCTCGCTCCTGCTTTGGCTTGGAGACCTCGGAGCCCCTGCAGGCTCTGCCCTCCCCTCCTCAACCC